GTTCTGGCGAGCTGCCGTATAAGCCCCGCCGACAGTGCCCAGCACTCTGACCCATACAGGAGAACGGGCACAATGCAGGCCTTGAACAGTCGAGCCTTAGTGGCTCGCGAAATCTGGCGAGATCTCCACACATGTGTGAGTTGTCCAAAGGCAGCGTTCGCTTGCCCGATGCGGCTGCTGACATCCAAGGATGTGCCAAGAGTGTAGTCTATGCCTAGCCATCCACCCAAGTACTTGAAGCAACCCGTCTTGGGGAGAGCAATCCCATTAGCGTACAGGACCCTGGTGCCCGGCAGAGGCGCTGCATCATCTGCCGCGAAGGCGGGCAGACCAAGGCCCTGGATGGGTGAAGAGAGCGACGGAATCTCCATCGACTCTGTCTTCACCTTATTGAGCTCGGCGCCCCAGTCACGAAGACAATCATCAAGGATGCTCACCATTCGAGAAAACCTGTCCCAGTCTGTGGCGTAGGTGGCTCCATGAAGTTGTACTGTTGTGTACGCCGCCCTGCGAACCTTAGAAGGGATACGAAAGATGGCATCTCTGTTAGTCACCCATGGAACTCCCACAGGATCAGGGAAACGAGCTGCACATCGGGTTCGAAAATCCTTTAAGAGCAGGGAGTAGTATAACAAGTACAAAGTGGGCCCCTCAACGGAGCCCTGTCTCACACCGGTGCTCATGTTGATCGGTGGACCGACATGGCCCGAGTGGCAGTGAGAAGTAGTCATGCCCTCGTGAAATCTGCGAAGCATGCCAATGACGTGTGAAGGAAGATGAAGGCAGCGGCTCAGCAGAGAAAACATCTCTTCCCTGGGCACAGCGTCAAAAGCTTTCTTCAAATCGATGAATAGTAGATACAACGCATCTGGAGCGCCTGCAGGGCCTGCAGCATCAGGGTTGCTGAATCTCCAAGATTCGATGACGCGTCTGGCACAGAAGACGGCGTCCGTCACTCCGCGCCCTCGGCGGTAGCCCAGTTCTGTCTCATCCGCGACTTGCTCAACAACTGCGACAAGCTTGCTATTAAGAAGGCGGCTTACCAGCTTATATACAATATCCAAACTCACAACGCCCCTGAAATTCTCCAAGGTCTCGACCCCTCCTTTACCCTTGTAAAGGACAAACAGTAGGGACTCATGCCACTTGCGCAAGTCCTCGTCCGGTGTCCGGCTATTCCAAAAGTCACAGACCAGACTGTGAACTGCAGTCAGAATGAGGCGGTCCTGGGCACAGGAGGGATCTAGACACTTCACCATTTCGGCTTGCACTCCTGAGGAATCGGTGGTCTTACCAGTTGCAAGAGAGCGAATGGCAGTACACATTTCATCGAAGGACGGGGGTCCCAGTGAGATGCTTCGAGATTTATGTCAACAGCTGGCACAGCTGCCATGGTCGCGGCGCTGACAGGCCTAGCTACGTTTAGAACTCTAGTAAAGTGTTCCGTAACCTCCTCAGTGGCGTGGGTACTCCCTAACGACGACACGAAGAGGCCACGCTCCTTGGCGAGACGTCCCAAGCGTCTGGCGTCGTCGAAAAGCTGGTAGGCCTGGCGGCTCCTGACGGCGCCCTCCAAGCGTTGACACTGCTGCTGCCACCACTGTGTCTTGAAGCGTCGAACCTCAGCACGGCTGGCGGAGCGAGCCTGCTGCAGGGCCTGTAGAAGGGCAGGGTTGGTGGGGTCGGCGCGCCAACTCGTGAAGGCTGCCTGACGCCGCTGGGCTAAAAGCACAAGTTGGTCAGTGTGCCCAGCGCGCCAGTCCGAGGCGGAAGTGGCAGTGGGACGCAGCGTAGACTCAGCGGCTTGTCGCAACATAGTCGGCAACGTGACGAAAGTCAGAGGTTCCTGCAGCTCCGTGAACCGCGCATAAAGCTCAGAGGAGAACGTCCGCGAGACGCGAGGGTCCTGCAAACTGCGCACATCCAAGCGTGCAGGTCTCGAAGTACCAGGGGTCACAGGTCCAGAGTTCGAACTGACAGAGGCAGTGACTGAGCGACGAGGACAGGCTCGCACGCGCAGAACCATAAGTTTGTGATCGCTCTCCACCTCCGCGCCTGGTAAAGCATGCGTATCAAGGACAAAAGGAAAGTCGGCCTGGCGCCCAACTGCCAGGTCTATAAGACCTGGGGTGCGCCAACGTCTGTGGAGCCAGCTAGATGTATGGGCAAGGTCATGTTGGAAGAAAGTGTTTAAAACCATTAAACTTCTGGAGCTACACAGCTCGAGCAGCGACGAGCCGTTGGAATTACGGGGCCCTACACCGTTAAACCCAAGAACTCGAGTAGGCGTGTCGGGACCTCCAGCACGGGAGCGGTAACCCACCCGGGCATTATAATCCCCTACTGCAAAGGTGACTTCCCTGTTAGGGATTGAGGCCCAAAAACTCGACAGCGAAGAGTAAAAGGCGTCCTTGACCGATTCGTCACATTGCATGGTCGGCCTGTAAACCGAGGCCAAGTGCCAAACGCCCTCGGAACCACCTAAACCAAAAGTAGCATGCAGAAGGCGCCCTCCCGGCCACGCCTTGCATTTGGAGCCCGCAGCTCGCCACGCCATGACAGCAGGAGGTGATAAGAGGAGGCCGACGCCTCCATGCGAACCATCTCCTTGGGAACCAGCGAAAAGCAAGACGAAACCGTCTCCCACGGCCACCTGGCCAGGGCAAGTGCATAAAGATGGTGATCACGCATGCGGTGCTTTAGCACTTCAAGCTCAGTATCTCCCGCAGAGGAAACAGAGCCATCACTGTGGATATCGAAGCTGTGTCGTAGGGTGCAAACATTAAGAAAACCAATATTGCATCTGGAGTAAAGGTGCCTATCAGACACTCCGGGCTGGCGATTGCGATTCCGCCCCGCGTATGATCGGAACGTTATTAGTGGACCCGCGCCGCCCCGAATGTAGTTCGAATGTTGTGTAAGGCTGAGCATTGTGGCAACAAGTGCATATCAGGAGCATGGCTAGGCTGCAATGCTGCAAACACTAGCCCACTCGTCACCGCAGAGGTCTCAGATGCGAGCCGTCAGAGGACGGCTAGTGGCCTAAGAGGGCGCCCTGCAGTCGCACCCGCCATTAGCCGGCTGGAAACGCGTGCAATGCACAGTGATCTTCACGAAAAGTGCCAGCCGTTCACCCCCCCGCCACGTTGAGGCCGGCGGTATGACTTGGGGGGGTGGCCCGGGCCCCAAGCATTGAGATGCGTCCGTGCTTCAGCTCGGTCTGGCGGCGTCGCTTGAAGTTCTCCACGCTACCATCGGCGGTGAAGCCTGCTGGATCCCAGAAGTTGGTCGTGTCGGGGATGTGCAGGCCGTTGCGCTGCCACCCCTCAGTGAAACAACTATCCCATGTCATCAAAAACAGAAAAGATGTCGATGTTCGCAGCAGTCTCTGAAAGAGGAGGCTGTTCGTGGTGCCGTGAAAAAGGTGAAACGGGAGCTCTTGTAGTACATGGAGAAGAGAATGCATGAGAAATGTGACCCTTCCCTCCAAAACCGCGGCGTTGTCCACCCACAGTAACAGAAGGACGTGGCAAAACCCGTGAACTCGCAAATGAAGGATCCGCCGCGGAAGAAACCGCATCCGAAGAAATCTCAACAGTAATATCTGCAGGTTGTGAAACATCCCTGTTGCTCGCACCAGCGGCATTGATAACACGCTGTAAAGCGGTAGAAAAATCATCACGATACATCCGGGGAGAGATCCACTTTGGTGGAGTAGGAGCCCTGCGTTTCTTGGTACCTTGACATGGCTGGCGCTTGACGTTGTGACGGTTGTCCCATCGAAAAACACGAGCACATCGCAAGCAACGTAACTCCCCATGAGGTGAAATCCGAGCAATGGAAGCGTTCCATGCCAAATCGTGACCATTGGCAATTCCCAAAATTGTCTTGTAAAGGTCCAAAGCCCGGTGAGGGTTATTCTGAAATGAAGGTGTATTGAGCCAAAAACCCCTGTCCAAATCCTTCTGCGCGCACTGTCTGTAGGAGATTTTAAGTCTCCTATGCTTGGGTTCCCGCACAAACGTGCCGCACTTGCGGCACCAAACGCCACCACCCATCATGGCGACGATATAATGGCCGTTCTCCAAAATGGCGTCCTCGCCCGACGGTTCAGTTGCAGGTTGCGCAACAGCCTCAGCAAAACCATGTGCCCCTGGCCCTAAATCTCCGTAAAGGTAAGTCTTGATGCTTGCCTGCCAAATATTGATAAGGGTTTGCTGGATAAGAACGACGTCCGTCGCCAAGTCGGCATCGGCTTCACATACAATTTACAATAGTGGCAAAACGAAAACAAGACTTGCTGCGACGTATCCGCCGAGACAAGTGAGTTATGGGGACACGAAGAGAAGCATAATGGGCGCATTTCCAGGAGATAAGAAAACGTCAGCAGGACCGCCCACAGAACAATCGCAAACAGTGGCCTTCTTGGTCTTGTGCTGTGACGCAAGGTCCCTGGTAAAAAGTCCGCCCGTGAGCAACAAGCGAAGCACGGCCGCCTTCATACGAGCTTGCTCATGAACAAAAGTGCCACTGTCAAAAGGACCGGACCACCCTCTGCTCCAACTGTCGAAGATAACGTAAAGTAACGTCCTTCAGAATACCCTGTCTCTATCCCTCAAAAAACGTCTCTATCACGAGCAACTTTGCGCCACTGCTCTCGTCGCCAAACCTCACGTGTGGTATGCAACCAAGAGCCAAAATCATCATCCGATAACTCCAGCATGGAAGCCACTGTACCACGAAAACCAGGCAAGGAGTCCACCTGCCGAAGTCTTGCAACCGGACCATCATTGGAAGTGTCGCCATTGTAAAACAGGTACTTGACCTGCGCGCGATTGCCGGCAAACTTCATGGCCCTCCAGGCGACTAAAAGTCCATCCATCACCCTGGAAAAGAAGGGATTCAAAGAGGGGGAGGCCACCAAAGAAAAATACATACCCGGGCTAGCCACATAGCGATGGCGTCGCAATAAACATCGCATGACGTCAGACCGAAGAGTTTCCAGCCTACGCAGATGTGTGGTAGCCTCTGAAAGGCAGTGAGTGCCCGTGTGGGTGGGTGGGTGGGTGGGGCCATATGTAAATTGCGCGCGGGTACGAAGAAGAGCACTACAGCGATCAGACCACGAAACCGGTAAGTGTCGTGCTCGCTTGACAGTAGACGCCCACTTCAATTGCCGCTGTAGTTCAAGAGCAGTAGCACCATGCGTGCCACCATCGCGGATAACGATAGACCCACCGATGAGTCTGAAAGATGTACTGTGTGCCAAATTCGAAATATTGCCACCCAGGCACTGATTCCCAAACGAAAAACTCTTCTGAAGATTAATCGATCCACCTATGGCAGCCACGAACGTGGATGAAACCTGAAAAACCGAAATGGTCCGCTCAATAAACTCGCCACTCCGAGAAGAAAAAGTAGTGACGGAAACATCGTCAGCATAGGCTCGAGGCTTGCACCCAAGGACCTCCGCATTCAGAGCCTTCAACCAAATATTGATGACGGCATTCAAAGCAATCATGGAAAGAGGACAGCCTTGAAGGATACCCCCGTAAACGGGTTGAACGTGGTTTAAGGCAAACCCCCAACTTGTACCGGCGACTGGCATTTCGCAACATCGCAAGGTATGGCTGCAAAACGCAGCAAGGAAGCGCCATTTTGCGCAGAATGTGACCAAGAAGTTCTCTGGGAATCCTATCAAATGCCTTAGCAAGATCAAAAGAGAGACCGCCGACAAGAGCATCAGAAGAGGCCCCTTCCAAATCCAAGGCGACCTGAAATAGAAGAGGTTCACAACCACGTCCTTGCCGACCACCAAACATGCCGTCATGAGCCCATCCATCTTGCCAATGCTTGCCCAACTGTCTGGCCCTGATACGGGCCCAGACTCTGTAGATACTACTGAGTACTGTAATCGGGCGAAGGTCCGTTGGCGAGGAAACAGCACCAGCACTCTTGGGTATAAGTGTGGTAAAACCAGAAATCAAAGCATTAGGCCATTTGCCAGTTTGTTCAACTGTACGCAGCAAAGAACAGAGCTCGTCAAATACCCAAGGAGCATATTGCGCGAGGATCTTGAGATCAGGATAAGACCACCCATCTAAGCCGGGACTGGAAACCTTGACTGACAAGATGTCCTCACGCAACATATCACCAGACAACTCCGGAAGATCAACTTCATGCGGCGTAATGTAACCATTGTACTGTCGAAAAAAACTCTGCATGATCAGGCTCACCATCCTTGAAAAGCTCATTGACTGCCTTCCAAGCTTCACGCACTGCCTCAAACTGCTCCGCAACGTTAGCGGTCCTTTGGCCATCCGTGCCCTGAAAACAAATGCCATCCACAACACCATCATTGCGAAGCCAAGTGTGTTGTGCACGAACAGAGCTCTGCAACTTTGCCTTCCAAGACGCGATGCGAGCATGTTTCTGTTCACGCTGAACCCGCACAATGGCATGTTCAAAAATGGAACGAAGACGCACCACAGATTCCAAAAGGCAACGACCAGAAAGCAAGCGCCGCGCTTCGGCCATCTCACCCTCAGACAAGTCGGACAGACCACGGGCAGCATTGTACCAAGTGCGGCGCGCAAGTTCGCCGAAGGTTTGCTTCTGAAGCTGCACCATACGACAACATTGCTTCCATAAGCGGCAGATGGCGAGAGAGGCGACATCACCACACCGACTAGGCGGCCACAAGGGTTGCGGATCAACTCTCACCGTCCCACGACCATGTTGAAAGGAACCACTGTCGTTAGCAACCGCCACAATAATAGCTGAGAGATGTTTCTCCGCATATTGATTCCAATAGCGAAAAGCCGAATCCACATCGCCACGCTGTAAACACAGGCTAAACGTGTGATGTATTGTGACAACTCTTCCCGATAGAGGCGCGTAAGCACCATCAACAGGATGATTAGTATAATGGCGATTCCGAAAAACCACCTGGGAGGCGACGCCAACGTTGAAATGACCGAATAATGGATTGTGGTCCGCAAAATGCATGCGGTCACCATGGAAAAAGGCAGTAAACGAAGCCATCGAAAGTTGATTGCAATACATGTGATCAATAACGCTGCCACCACCCTTGAAACATGTAGGAGCTTGACCTAAGCCCGCGGCATCTGCCAAACGAGACCAACCAAGTTGCGGCAGTCGTTGTAACAAATCAGAATCGGAGACCTCCAAATTGATATCCCCACCGAAAATCGCGGGTAAGCCGCGTGAAGCAGCGTCGCTCAGCACGGCTTCAACAATATTGTGCGTCCGTTTCTTGAGTTGGGAACTCCAACGCGCACCGCTGTGACCGTAAATGACATAGCAAAGTAACTGCTTCTTGCCATTGCCCAAATACAAAGAAATACCATGTAATCGTCCCGCAATGAAGTGCCGATGACACGGCGAACTAGCCGTCCACTGAATGGGACGAACCGTCCAAACAGCAGCATCGCGGACAAGAAAGCCGACCCCGGCTTGGGAAGGAGCACCCCAAAGGGCCCGGAAACGAGGAAAGGAACCGTCCACAAGTTTAAGCAGATCAGCTGTGAGATGAGTTTCGGAAATAGCAATAACATCAGCGGGCAACGCCGAAATTGCGGGACCACGGGTCATGCCCATAAATCCATCAGCATTCAAATAACAAATACGAAAAGGCTGTGTGTTGCCATTGACCATCCTCATGTAAAGATTGATATCCAAAGAAAAAGCTCCCATCATGCAGTGACGAATGCATTGTGAAACAACTTGCGCATGATTACGTCTCCCGTCGCCGCTGGGGCTCGGGAGTCTCACCTGTGTGGTCGATTGCCTGACGCTTCTCCGGGTCTGCTGCGATCTTCTCATCAGCCTTGGGCACGCCTTGGGGAAACACCTTGGCCAGAAAATCCGATTGACCTTTCCGCGAGGATGCCAACGATCGCATGGGGGTTTTGGGCTCCTCAACAACCGAACTGCGTGCATTACCATCTCGTGCCATGCCCCGCGCCTGTGAATTGAGAGCCTTGAAGATAAGCTGCCGCGAAGTACCGTGAAGACGAAAGAAAGCTGGATCATCCCACCCACGATTGGATGCGAGAAACACAGCGTGACCCTCAGTAAGATAAAGAATCTGGACATCAAGCCACTTGAGTTGCTGCAATAACGCGGCTACACCGTGCAAGCCCGTGGAGGCATGAATACCCGACAATTTCCACCTTCCGAACGCGCTCAAATCAACTATGTTGTTGGCCTTGGCGAAGGAGCGAAGTGACTCAAGAGATCGGAAGCGGATAGCAAACCGCGGATGGAAAGCACCACCTTTTTCCACCACCCCATAACAGGTATCATGAGTGGCCAATTTGATGGCACGTACAAGATCGAAGCCCTCCGGTAACCATAGGAGTTCCATGTCAACACCCTCCCCGGTCTTGAAGAAGGATCCCCGCTTGCCCGAGCTTTTGAGCAGGACATCAACGAAATCAGAATGCAGCAAAAAGCTGGCTGAAGGACCTTCGCGAGGAACAATGTCGGACACTGCCGCCTCGGGTACGTAAGCCGAAAGCTCGGACATGATGACTGAGGCCGGATGTGGTCCGGATGGCCAACCATGCCTCTCAGGAAGCTTGACAATCATTTTGACCAAGGTGTTAAGAAGAGAGACCTCAACGCCCCGCATATTCTGAAGGACCGCCTCGCCGAATCCCAACTGTACCAAAAAACGGTCAACCTCAGTGTGAGTTCGGATGCCCTCGCTGCCCATGACACTGAGTCCACAACGAACCTTCTGGCGAGGATAACCGCGAAGGCCGACACTGTCAGGGTCACGCGTGATAAGGATAGCCACCGGATTCGATGTAAACCCCACCCGTTGAACGACCTCGGCGATGTGATCGATGCGGACAATGGAGACTCCGCCACGCGATGACAATGTCTGGTGAGAGACTTGCTGATGTTATGTTTGTTCCGTTGTTCCCTCCTCCTTTTTTGGACAAATGTCTCCCTCAAAAAAACCCCTTTCCGATTTTTAAGCACCATAAGTCTTTGAGTTCAATGGTGATATGTTTGGAAATGAAGTTCCCTGGGCGTCCCTGTTTTGATAGCACTGTTTGAGTTTAAAGACAGTTTCGTCGCCGTCCCCATTATGATAACACCATTACAGTTTAATGGCATGGTGTAAAACGGTTCTGTTCGTTTTTTTTGATGCCTAGCACAGGGAAAATTGGATTTTGGGGAAAGTCAATTGGCTGCTGTGTTTGCATCCTTTAAAACGGGTCCTGAGACAATCCTATAAACTCCAATACGCCAAACAAGCCTAAGCCCTGAAACCTAAACCATCCTAAACCCTAACCCGAAACCTACCCTAAACCCTATAACCTGAACCCTAAACCCCCTTTGTGCTGTACGCCCAATCCCCTGAGCCCTAACCCTAAAACCGGAATCCTAGACCCTAAAAGCAAAACTTTAAAACCTTAATTCAACCCCTTGAACCTAAACCCTTAAGCCCTTAAACCCTTAACCCTGCATAAACTGGTCATGCTCAATAATATGAGCAATGACGACCCTTAACCCCCAAACCTTAAACCCCAAAGCCCCTCAAGCCTTAAATCCTCAACCCCAAACTTTAAGCCCCGCAAACCCTAAACCCCTTCCTTCATAGCCCCAAAACTCCTAAATCTCTAACCCTTAAACCCAAATCATTGAAGCCTAAAACCCTTGAAACTCTTAGAGCCCGAAGCCTTGAAACCTATAACCCTACAACCATTGAAACAAAAACCTGAAACCCTAAAGCTAAAACTCTAAAACCCCAAAGCCCTAAAACTTTAAAATCTTAAAACACCCAAAACCTTCAACCCCTAAATTCCTACACCCCCAAAGCCCTGCCCTAAACCCCAAAAGCTCTAGAACCTTAGAGTAGCGCTTTGGCCCCCGAAAGGCCTAAACCTGAAAGCCTTAAGCCTAAACCGTAGGGGAGGGTTGCAGAGGGGGTGGGCAGGTTGGGAGGGTTGGGAAGGATTGCGGTGGGTTGCTGAGGGGTTGGGGAGGTTGGGGGAGGGTTGCTGGTTGGGGATGGGGGGATGGTGGCGAGGGCGCCCAGCCTTCCCCCAACCATCCCCAACACAACAGAATCTATTTTCGGTTCAATTATTCAGAAAATTCAACCAACAATCAAATCAACAAAAACAAAGCGTTGAAATATGATGAAATCCAACAGTTTGATCATAGTTTGAACACCGAAAATAAATTCTGCTATGTCGGAGATGGTTGCGTCGAAACCCTCGCAACCCTCCCCAACCCTCCCCAGTTCCTCCTCCCCAACTTTCCCCAGCGCTCCCCAACTTTCCCCAACACCCCCCACCGCTCGCCAACTTACGCAACCCTTCACTACTTCAACCGTCTCCAAACCTCCCCAACCCTTCGGTTTAAAGATTGGGGTTCAGATTATGTTTCAGGGTTTTGGCCTTTAGAGGGTTAAGGCTTTAAAGTTCTAGTGGTTTCGGGGTTTAGGGTTTAGGGCTTTAGAGTGATCGCTTTAGGGCTTAGGTAATTAGGGTTGTAGGGGCTTAGGGGTTTAAAGTTTTTTTTGCTTTTGGGTTTTACGGCTTTCGGGGCTTAGGGCTGTACGGGTTTAGGGCTTTAAGCTTTAGGTTTCAGGGCTTACGGCTTTAAGTGTTTGGGGCTTAAGGGTTTTAGGGTTGTACTAGTAGGGTTTTAGATTGTTTTTTCAGGGTGTAGGGCTTGAAGTGTTTAAAGCTTTGGGTTTGGGGTCCTTAACGCTTTGGGGGTGTAGGGCCTTGGGGTTCAGGGCTTTGGGGGTGCAGGGGTTTAGAGCTTAAGGGTTTAACGACTTAGGGTTTGTGGCTTTAGGGTTTTAGGGTTTCGGGCTTAGGTTTCAAGTTTGGGGTGTAGGGTTTAGGCTTAAGGGGTTTAAGGTTTTAGGGTTTTGAGGTTTGCGGTGTTATGCTTCATCGCTTGGGACTTTAGCATTTGGGGTGTGGGGATTTAAGGATTCATTGGCTTTAGGGGTATAGAAGGGTTCGGGTTTGAGGGGCTTTGGGTTTGGGGTTTCTTTTAGCGTTTAGTTTAGGGTCTAGCCCTAGGTTTTGGCATTCAGGGTTTAGGGCCGACTAATCTGTATAGTTTAGGATGCACCAAACCTAAACGTGAAGCCCAGACCCTAAAATCTAAATCCCAAAACAACAAGCCAAAGTTTAAACCCCAAGCCCAAACCTGAAATCCAAGTAAGGTCCCCTCACCATCGAAACGAGTCACCTCGCACACCCAAACCGGTTGGTTCGGATTTGCAGAGAGGCAACATATGGGTTCGGATGGTGAGCTGACCCTGTTAAACTAACAGGGTCACCTCGCAGACCCAAACCGGTTTGGGTCCGCGTGGCGGCCCTGTTAAACGTTGAGAGGACCCAGTGGAACTTACGCTGCACTGGGTCTTCTGGACTTTTATCTGGGTGCCCTCGCAAACCCAAACCGGTTTTGGTCCGCGAGGCGGCCCTGTTAATTTAACAGGGTCAGCTCACCCTCCGAACCCATTGTTGCCTCTCTGCAAATCCAAACCGGTTTGGGTGCGCGAGGGCTTGCCCTCGCAGACCCAAACCGGTTTGGGTGCGCGAGGCGGCCCTGGTATTTGTCTCTCTGCAAATCCAAACCGGTTTGGGTGCGCGAGGGCCGCTAAAAGAAGCCGCAAACCCAAAACCTCTCAAAAACTAACCCGTCTACACCCCTAAAGCTTTAACCTTAAACTTGAGCCTAAACCACACACCCTAAACTTGCAACCTAAGCCCGAAACCCTGAAACCCTAAAGCCACAAACCCTAAGTCCTTAAACCCTTAAGCCCTTAACCCCAACCCTACACCCCGAAAGCCCTAAACCCCAGGCCCTAAACCTCCAAAGCTTTAAGGACCTAAAACCCTAAGCCCCAAACATTTAAAGCCCTACACGCTGAAACCTAAATCCAAAATTATTGGTTCCTTAACGGAGGGGAGTCCAAGGGGGCATTTAACCCAATAGTTCCTTATTCTCCTTACTCCTCCCTAAGGTTCCCAAAGGCTCCCTAGTACCCTCCCCCTTGAAGGCCCCAGCATTCCCCCAACAATCCCCAACACACCAGAATCTTAGAATATATTTTCGGTTCAAAACTCAGCAAATTCAATGAACAAATCAACAAAAACAAAAAGTTGAAGTATGACGAAATCCAACAGTTTGATCATAGTTCATCATATTCCCTTTTGGTTGAATATTTGAACACCGAAAATAAATTCTGGTATGTTGGGCATGGTTGCGGGGAGACCCCCTCAACCCTCCCCAATCCCCCCTCCCCAACTTTCCCCAGCGCTCCCCAACTTTCCCAATCACCCCCCCACCGCTCGCCAACCTACGCAACCCTTCACTACTTCAACCGTCTCCAAACCTCCCCAACCCTTCGGTTTAAAGATTGGGGTTCAGATTATGTTTCAAGGTTTTGGCCTTTAGAGGGTTAAGGCTTTAAAGTTCTAGTGGTTTCGGGGTTTAGGGTTAGGGCTTTAGAGTGAGGGCTTTAGGGCTTAGGTAATTAGGGTTGTAGGGGCTTAGGGGTTTAAATTGTTTTTTGCTTTTAGGGTTTTACGGCTTTAGGGGTTTAGGGCTGTGCGGGTGTAGGGTTTTACGCTTAGGTTTCAGGGCTTACGGCTTTAAGTGTTTGGGGCTTCAGGGCTTTAGGACTTGAGGGTTTTATTCTAGGCCGGATCCTTAAGGGAGGGGGCTCGCCACCATCCCCCCATCCCCAACCCAGCAACCCTCCCCATCTCCCCAACGCGCCCAACCCTCCACAAACGACCACAATCCTCCCCAACTTCCACCCTCCCGAACCTCCCCAACCCCCTCTGCAACCCCCAAGTTTTAGGCTTAAGGCTCAGGGTTTAGGTTTAAGGCTTTCAGGTTTAGGCCTTTCGGGGGCCAAAGCGCTACTCTAAGGTTCTAGAGCTTTTGGGGTTTAGGGCAGGGCTTTGGGGGTGTAGGAATTTAGGGGTTGAAGGTTTTGGGTGTTTTAAGATTTTAAAGTTTTAGGGCTTTGGGGTTTTAGAGTTTAGCTTTAGGGTTTCAGGTTTTTGTTTCAATGGTTGTAGGGTTATAGGTTTCAAGGCTTCGGGCTCTAAGAGTTTCAAGGGTTTTAGGCTTCAGTGATTTGGGTTTAAGGGTTAGAGATTTAGGGCTTTAGGGCTATGAAGGGGTTTAGGGTTTGCGGGGCTTAAAGTTTGGGGTTGAGGATTTAAGGCTTGAGGGGCTTTAGGGTTTAAGGTTTGGGGGTTAAGGGTCGTCATTGCTCATATTATTGAGCATGACCAGTTTATGCAGGGTTAAGGGTTTAAGGGCTTAAGGATTTAGGTTCAAGGGGTTGAATAAAGGTTTTAAAGTTTTGCTTTTAGGGTCTAGGATTCCGGTTTTAGGGTTAGGGCTCAGGGGATTGGGCGTACGGCTTGGGTTTAGGGTTTAGGTTATAGGGTTTAGGGTAGGTTTAGGGTTAGGGTGTAGGGTTTAGGGTTTAGGGTTTAGGGCTTAGGCTGGTTTGGCACTTCGGAGCTTCTAGGGCTTTCGCAGGACCTGTTCTAAGGAATGCAAACACAGCAACCAATTGACTTTCCCCAACTTCCAGTTTTCCCCGTGCCATCAAACTCGAAGCATCAAGAGAAGATGAGGGAACCGTTTTACACCATGCCATTAAACTGTAATAGTGCTATCAAAATGGGGACGGGGAGGAGACTTTGACTAAAATCCAATAGTGCTATCAAAACGGAGACGGCCAGGGAATTTCATTTCCAAACATATCACCATTGAACTCAAACACTTATGGTCCTAAAATCGGAAGAATCTTTTTTGAGGGAGACATTTGTCCAAAAAGGCGAAGCGGGAACAAGGGAACAAACATAACATCAGCAAGGAGAATACAGGAACGCTCCAATCATCCTGTAACAACTGCGATTGTGCTCGAAGAATAGCCGCTTGCGGTACGACCAAACGAACATCATTTGAAACATCATGCACACTTGACGCTGAAGGCGCAGTTATGGAAGCAGAGGGTGCCACTGCATCAACGCGAACATCAGAGCCGGCCTTGCCTTTCCCTTTAGCGTCACCTTTGGCAGCGCCTTTACTCTTGCCTTTACGGCCCTGACCCATATTGCCATAGACAATGTGCATCATTCTGTTGCGCATCGACAAAGTAATGTACCACATGTAAACTACGCCAAGACAGGCACCAAGGAAAACATCAAACAAGATGTTAAGAGTCATGTTGATCACAACATTCTGGATTGCGCTATAAAAGCCTGGCACGCACTGTCTCGCCATCCACGTCAGCTCCACCTCCGGTACGCGTGCCACCAACGTGGATGTAGGCGCCGGAGAGCCTGCTGGATCCCAGAAGTAGTCGGGGCTTGCCTGAGCAGTGGTAGCACGCAGCTACCCCACTCCCGAACGGGGAACCGGGCTAACCGATTCCCATGCGGGGCACATCTCTGGAACCTGAAGGCAGCTCTCTTAGCCGCCCGGCATGCTGGTGTGGCACGGCAGTGTCATGAGCATCAATCTCTTGCGTGGGTCTGCTGTGCGACGACTTATGCCGTATGCGACGGCGAGCATTAACGGGTGATACCGCCTCAGCATGAGCATCGGCAGGTTGTGAAATACTGTCGGTCGCCGATTTTCGTCGGAGGCGCCGACGAGCATTGGCAGCTATAACATCCCTTTGGGAGGTCTGTGCAGGTGCACCACCGGCAGCGCTGCTGGCAACTGGTGGCTCGTGGTGCACCGTGGTCTGCATGCTAGAAACCCAAGAAGGTGGAGGGGGAAGGGAAGCAGGTGGCTGGCAAGCAGTGTTTCTGAAAGCTTGGTGGCGTCGCATCCAAGGCCAAGTACGGCCGCATCGCTGGCAGTAAAGCAAGCCAAACGTTGATGTATCAAGCTGGATTCTTGCCGGACTTACGATTCCACACGAGCGCGTGGATATCGCGATTCAAATTCACCTGTGTATGCCTAAACAGTTCATCCAGGCGAGACATAGCGGCCATACGACCGGGCGTGCTTAACCACCTATCGGGGGGCAGGGAGGCATTAGGGCAGGCAGTCTTAGTAATCTTAAGCCTAACGTGCTTGACATACTGCGTCTGCCGGCCGCATTTGCAGCAAAAGACACCCCCATTAGGGGTGGGCCGCAGCACGTGACCACGTTTCTCAACCGGGACCTCGGCCGTGGTTGGGGACTGTGCCGTAGGAGCGACAACGACCGTAGCCAGCTCCTCCGCAGAGTGCCACTCGTGGATATGCTGTTGCCATATATTGACCAAAGAGGTCTGGACCGTGTGAAGCGCCGCGGGCGCGATGGAAAAATTTGTGGGCACCACAGTTGTGCGCTTAAAACACACCGGCAGGCGACGCAGGGGTTTAGGAAGAGCTGCGAGAGCTGGTGCCCTGAGTTCACGGAAACGCGGACACACCCAGGAGATGTGATTGTGGGAGGGCGTGCCCCCGCACTGACACTTGACACGACCAGGCTTTCTGCGGTGTCGCCGGTCCCGTTCGGGATCCATGAGGCCACCAACAAGCAGCA